TTAAACTATTATTTATTAATTAAAAATATTATTATCATAAAATTACTTTTTTATTTAACATTTACCTTAGGTACAAGTAAATAGTAATTATGTTACACTTTTAACTTTGAGCCCACCGTAACTTAAAAAATTTACCGAGTTATAATAAATAATTCAAAATTCAAATATTTTTTTTTAAAAAAAAGAAAAAGCAAAATTAAGATTTTTATTTATTTTTTTATTTTGACCGCTACAGTAAACTGTAAATAGTAATTATGTTGTAATTTTAACCTTGGGTCACTGTAACTTAATAAGTTATCGAGTTACAGTAATTAATTCAAAATTCAATTATTATTTTTTTTTAGAAAAAAAAGAAGCAAAACCAAGTATTTTTTTTTACTTTAACCGCTACAGTAAACCCTAAATGATAATTATATTGCACTTTTAAACTTGGACTCACTGTAATTTAAAAAATTTACCGAGTTAAGAAAGTAAAAAATCTTGAATTTTTTTTTCTTTTTATTTTTAATTTTTTTTATTTTGAAAGATTACTGAGTTACAAAAGTCAAATCATTTGGTTTTCTCCATAATTTTCTCCCTTCACGTCCTCGTATTATTTTAAAATGACCTTGACCTTATCTGCAAATAATTATTTTAAGAAATTTCATTTATCTCACTCTTCTCTTCTTCACGGCTACATGCCTACATCGGTTATAGCCTCTTTCAGATTGATAGATTACGTTTAATTAGCTAAAACGCCATCTTTAATGGTACTAATTTATCTTTAACTCACCGAGTGGATTAGTAACTATTTGATGGTAATGTGCACAGTACTATATACTCCCTCTGCCCCATCATTATTGTCCACTTTGTCCAAAAATTTTTGTTCTATAATTATTATCCGATTTGACTTTTTATGGATTAAGTTACATATTTGTCCTCTAATAAAAAACATCATCTCACTAAAACCGAAGCTTTGAAACCTTGCAATTGAGCTCCCCGATAAGCTACTCGGAACTTTGAACCGTCCATTGGAGCCGGCGAGAAAACTGACTACCCATATTTCCAGGAGCCTACATTCAATTCCAAGGATGACAAGAGTTCAAGGAAGATAAGGGACAAAACAGGAGATTATAATTACAATAATTGGTTTCTATATCGCGAGCATAAAATACATCAAACACTTCAACTATATATAGTCTTTTTCAGTTCGTGATGGAGTATTTCCGGAGCCATCACGTCCACCGCCAGCGAACTATTGGTTGTGGAAGCAACACCATTGACATTGTTGACTTTGGTGCTGGCCGCCGCGAGTCGAATGGGTAGACACTCTAAACAACCAGTCGTCGATTTGGGTTGGAGCTGAGCCGGTGGTTGAAAGTCGGACTTGGCGGCGGCTGAGTTGTGGTTGTGATAATACTAAAATTCTGACGTGCTTTGAGAATTATTTAAATAAAATAAGAGTATAATGGTAAAACAAAACATATAGCGTGGTATCGTAAATTGAAACTAAATTACATCAATTAAAACCATTTATAGGCTAAGAGTTTATTGTAATGATTAGATAACTTAATAACAAACAAAATAAATTGTCTTCTCAAAATTCGTATGCAAGCTGTAGGGAGGTCAGACTGCACGACTTTAGTAAAATAATTATAACTCATTTTAGAAAATTCTAAATTACTATCTGTTTATTGCTAGTTAAACTATACTCAGAGAGGCTTCTAATGATATATGGAACACGGGACAAAACTATCTAGATCAATACAGTTAATTTTTCAAAGTCGGCCAAACTGACTAAACAATTTCATGGCCCAAAATGATCAAGGTTGAGTCATGTCCTTTGTCCCACGGACATGTTGCGTGCATGTTCCTTCCAATACAAAAGTTAGAATTCTTCCCAGCTAAGCTTGTCACTTTCTTTGGTATATAATAGTTTCCACCGTCTTATAACATTTTCTGGAACATACAACTTTAGATATATAATAGTGAGCCTTATCTATGTTAATGTTTCCATATTCACTACTTATTCATCTCCTTACTACGGGGCGGCCAACACCAGCAAACCTCCTCTTCACCATGTAATCTTTCATGAACCATCAGATTTCCTAACTTCTATACCCTCTCGTGCAAGTCAGCTAAGCTCAAAACCAAAGGAAAATCAATTAATTTGCATAGAACTGATACCGGTCGACTTAAAAGAAGCATCCGGCAGTCTTTAGCTTTTATAAAGTGATTAGTTTAGATCTCCTAGTTTAATCTTGGGGAAACCAAAAGCATAAAGAGGGAGAGATAGAGTGAACCAGAAGACAAAGAGGAAAGAAAGAGGTGACGAAAGTAAGTTCCGGAAGGCTAAAGAAAGTTTGATGTTCGATTTCGAACGTCGCCGTAAACCGTTGCGGTGCAACAAGGTAAGTACCGCGGCTTTTGTAGGATTATGAGTTTGTCTTGACTATCACTTTAAGTAGCTATTTATTCATGGTTCATAGGACTCGAACAAAACAAAAAAGGGTAAGAGGAAACCTCAAAGCTATAGAAAAGTTTGACCAAACTCTTTAATATTACTAAACAGTAGTCTATGGTTAAATGAGATTTCATGTTTTATTAAAGTACTTCATGAAAGAGTGTGATTATATATTTGTACTCCTAAACAGAGCTTCGATTTTTCGAATTATTAGACTAAAAAATCAAATCAAATAGTCACTGAAATTGCTAAACTAAAAGAAGGAAACTTGGGTTTAAGAAGCTAGCATTTCAGCACCTATGTTCATTCGGGAATCAAACCGCAAGCATAGGAACAGGGGTTGTGCTAATTATCTAATTGACCAAGTATTATTAACTGGCTATAATCCTTAAGTCTCAATCTACAATACTTAAGCATCTAAATCAAATAATCATGGTCTATTTTGATTAAACCATTCAAAAAAAAAATAATGTCTACTAATCCCTCTCTAAAAGCAGGAAGGGCCGAGAGCTATACACTTGAGAAACTAAAATAACCAACAGTCGTGACTAAGTTTTCAATAAGAAAGGAAAGAAACCATTTATGAGAAGTGTCAATGAGGTTCAACTTAAATGGTGTGGTGACACAATATAGTGTGACAAGAAAGCACAGTAACTACATCAGATGCCTTACACTTCAGGTGAGTAATTCTCACTCTTTTAAAATTATTTTAAAAATTGGGAGTATAGGAATATATATTTGAAAAACACTTCACATATTAACACGTTTTTAAATGTTATTGAAATATCTTTAATGCATATCGTTGAATGACCCGGTAGTATACTTAATAGCCCCAGGATAAGTGTTATAAGTGTTACCGTATTTGAATGTAACTGGTTATGTATTTAGATGCTATCGATTGGCTATATGATTGACTCCAATTGTTGAGCGTATTGTGCTAAAGTGAAATGTCTGAATGAAAATGTCTTGATGGTGACATCACCTCGATGGAGTTTCCAGTGTTGTTGTTGAAAGTATTATATCCGGTGGTGTTTTTTATCGCCTCGAGAAAGTGTATTATTTGTGCATGCAATCGTTGATGTGTACACAAGCTCGGGTCATTTCAGTTGCCCTGGAGCACGAGCCCATGCACTGGGCGAGCAAGGAACGTGAGTCAGTATCGGGCTTGGTCACCAGTCTTTACCGTCAGTGGCCACATCGTTGGGGAAACTCGACGGAGAAATCCCAATCACGACAGGGGTAAGTTGAAGATTAAATTGTGAATTGTTATTGATAGTCGGTAAGGTCGCTCCTTCTGACGATATATTGAATGATTCTTAAAATGTAGTTTGGAATAACGTTCTTGTGCCACATCGGCCTTGACGTGCTTGCTAGATTTTCCTGTATCCACCCCTATTATTATTTGATTAAAGTGATTATTTGATTGATTTGTTGCGTGACAAACTTTTTGATAAAAAGGTTTTACTATCGTATGATTTCTCAAAGTTATTTTATTAAAAGTATGTGGTAGTATTGTGAGAACTTCATTGAGGCACTCGCCCCCTTTACATCTATATATACTATCCCCTATCACCTCCCATGTTTAGAGAAAAGACCGAAGAATGCTATTAGGAAGATGATTCGACCATTTCACCGTGGGATCTGGTTGGCAGATTTCTGTGGAGAATTAATGGTATTGCGCCTTGGGCGAGAGCTCGGCAGATGACTCAGCTGATCGCGAACCACAACGGGGAAAACCAAGCACGTGGATTAGCCGGGTCGTTGCAGTGGTTGTTGGAGAAGTCCAGGTAATCATGGACTTGAGGTGCACCGGAATTTCTTAATCCCGACGAAGAAGACGAAAGATTGCATAGCTCTATATTTACTAGAATTGTTGTTCTTGAGTTTCGATTGAGTATACGAATTGGGATTAGTTTTTGGCTTTGGGTGCTAATCTGAAAAGGTAGAGAAGGCTCTTATCCTATGCCGGCTAAACATTAATTATGCAGGGGTAGATCTTATTTTTTAGGTCAAAATATAGTTAAGTTTGACTAAAAATAAAATTTTCCATCTTAGTCAAACTGGATAATAATTATGGGACGGAGGGAGTACACGTTAAAAAAAATGGAAGGAAAAAATAGATAAATATATGCAACCATAAAATTCATTATTTTCTTTGTCCTAATAAAATAGTCCGCCTTAAGTTTTGAGATTTTTATTATAGTACAAATCTCAAAACTCAATGTAAATTATTTTGTTGGACAAATGAAGTAAAAAAATAAGATAAGATTATGACTGCAACAAAAAGCTAATTGATTGAAACCAATTCGATATAAAAAATAAACAATTCCAAGTTGGAAACTTGAAGTGAACCAATTTGACAAACTTTGTTGAGTGCAACAAACCGATAATTACGCAGGAACAGATTCCACCTACATAATGGAATAAGAAATTGAATATATAATTAATTAACTAATTAATCCCTTATCTTAATTCTTAACTATCTACACTGAAATTATGGTAAATATTTTTAGCGAACCTAATACGGCGTTTAGATACAATGTTTTATTCTTTAAGAGCAGTTTTAATTTGGAGACATATGTGAGAGAGTAGTATATGTGATTTAAGCAAAAACAATTCAAAAGTAAAACCGAAAAAATTCAAAAGACATTACGTACGAACTCATTAATTTCATGTATTTGTATCTGACAGTTCATATTATCTCTCATCTCATAATAACGTGTCTAAAATAACCTAAACAGATCTTTTAAAGCCGAGGAGTTTCCTGGGAGAATCTTTCTTGTCCAAAACAATTGCTGAATATCTGTAGGCCACATTGCCTTCCTCTCCTTTAATAACCACAGCGAATTCATAGTTATTCCCTCCAAATGTTTGTCCCGCTGCCCAAATCACACTATCAAATTTCACAGCTTTCTTTGACGCCTTGTTATATTCATCCACCGCAAACTGCCCCACTGCCACCACCGCCGGATCACTAGCGTTTAAGGAACGGTAATTTTCAGGCGGAACGAAATCTCCTCCGTCTGCATCAGTTACCACAGTCCCGGCCATGGAAGCGGTGAAAAGCGAAAATGTAATCAAGAATGATAACATGTTTACGAAAACAAACGATCGGATTTGGATTGCCATCTTTTTCTTTTGTGTGTTAGCTTTTAGGGTTTGGAGAAATTTTTTAGTCACAAAAATTTGAGCAATAAAAGAAGGAGAACAGGGAATTGCGATTTAGATTGTGTTGGTAGGTTGTGAAATTTATAGGGAGTTTGGAACGTTATTTATTTTCTTGGAATGGGTTGTTTATAGAGACTATTAAAGAATATTTTCCAAAATTAAAGTATATTTAATCATATCTAATATAAATATTGTAACTTCTTTGATGGTTACTCTCACATTTATTTACAACAAGTGCTAAAAAGTTAAAGTGAAGACGCTACAAGTTGAGTTAATTAAGAATCCATAAATGGCAGAAAATTGATTCCTGTTTTTACCTTTGACATTCATAAGCCTTCTTAATTCTTTTTTATTTGACCGTTGGCTAGCATCATCACTGTCTAAACGCATCACGCTGTTCTCTTATTGATCACACTCTTAACTTCTTCAACTTCTTCTTTCTCCTTCTTAACTTTTTTGAGAGCCTAAAATTAAGTATTGTTTAGATAATAGGCAGAGACGTAGAGTTCATCGGGAATAAAGAATATATTTTTTTTTGGGTAGCACCGGAAATTTATTAGGGATAATTTTTGAAAGTAACTCAAGTTTGAATATTCACAGTATGTTATAGGGCTGTAAACGAACCAAGTCGCTCGCGAGTTATTCGCGAGCCGGCTCTATCAAAACTCAGTTTGAACTCGTGTTGACCAAGTTCGAGCTGAATTCAAGTTGACTCAATATTCACAACATTATTAATTAATTTTATTTAAGTCTTGTCCCACCACTAGTCCACTACTTTTTCATTGTCTCTGGTCTTTACTCTCTCTCTCTCTCACCCATGACTCTCTCCAAGACTCCAAAGTCTAACCACATTCGAAAATTTGCACATTAAGTGCATATAAATAGATACATTCGAAAATTATGCACATTAAGTGCATGTAGATAGGTACACATAGACCTTTATTTGGTATTAGTATAGGAAAGGAGGGCTAAACATGAAAGTCTTTATGAGTTATGTGCGAGGAGTAAAGACTAAAGGCCAAAGATAAAAAATCAAAAAAATGTTAGTGTGTTTAGGGTTTAGGGGAGTTTAAGTATTTTTTTGTCGGTTAGGGTGTAGTTGTTTAGAGTTTAGGGTTTAATGAGTTTAAGCATATCCTTATCAGTTAGGGCCTAGTTTGTGTCGTAACACGTTTAACTTATAAATTTTTTAAACCAATTAGGCTAGGGTCTCGTGAGACTCTAGTCTAATTGATTTAAAAAAATTTAAACAAGAAAAAAGAAATTAGTGTGTTCAGGGTTTAGGGAGGTTTAACCATTTCATTATTGGTCACTGTCTAGTTGTTTAGGTTTTAGGGTTTAGGAGGGTTTAAGCATTTCCGTATCGGTTGGGGCCTAGTTTGTGCCGTTACGTGATTAACTTATAAATTTTTTAAACCAATTACGAGACCCTAGTCTAACTAGTTTAAAAAATTTAAACCAAAAAAAAAAATAGTGTGTTTAGGGTTTAGGGAGATTTAACCATTTCCATGTCGGTTAGGGTTTAGTTGTTTAGGGTTTAGGGGGGGTTTAAACATTTTCGTGTCAGTTAGGGCCTAGTTTGTGCCGTAATACGATTAACCTTATAAATTTTTTAAAACTAAAAATAAAAATGATTGTGTTTAGGGTTTAGGCGGGTTTAACCATTTCCGTATCAGTTAGGGTCTAGTTGTTGAGGGTTTAGGGGGTTTAAGAATTTCCATGTCGGTTAGGGCCTAATTTGTGTCGTAACACGATTAACCTTATGAAAATTTTTAAAAAATTAATTAGGCTTTGGTTTAAAAAAATTTAAACCAAAAAAAAAAATATTAATGTGTTTAGGATTTAGTGGGCTTAAATATTACCATGTCGGTTAGGATCTAGTTGTTTAGGGTTTGGGGAGGGAGGGGGGGGGAGGGAGGGGTTTAAGCAATTCTGTGTTGGTTAGGGCCTAATTTGGTCTTTTGTCTATTGGTTTTTGGTCTTTGCTCCTCATACACACTCGCTATTTATTCTAATCTTTGGTCTTTGATCTTTAGTTTTCGATTTTTGATCTTCGGTCTTTTGTCTTTGATCTTTGTTTTTCACATATGCTCACTTTTCACTCTGGTCTTTAGTCTTTGATGCTTTGTCGTTGGTCTTTGCTCTTTACACACGCTCGCTCTTCACTTTGATCTTTGGTCTTTGGTTTTTTTTCTTTGCTCTTTGGTTTTCAGTTTTTAGTCCTTGGCCTTTGGTCTTTGGTATTTGTTCTAGGTCTTGTTCATAAAAGACACAAGTAAGAACATAACGTCTTTAGGATGATCAAGCCAACTGCATAAATTTTTTAAAGTTTCGAAAAATATATTCATGATGAATCTTGTCGTATAGATTTCATCGAGTACTATCAAAATGATATAAGACACTTGGTCTAGTTCGTTACGGATTAAGAAATAAAATAATTTGAAAATAAAAGAAATTTTGAAAACCCACTTTCTCAAATTAAGGAGAAGTGACACGTACATTTAAAAAGAAAAAAAAAAGTATGTTAAATAATTATAAATGAAATCTCTCCATTATTAAATAATAAAAAATGTCTAAGTACACCTATCTAGATACACTTAATGTGCATAGTATAATAACTCAACCACATTAACATTTTCCTTCACCCCAATCGTTCTCTTCTTCTTGTAATCATTTCCATTATCCACTGTATTTTTTCTCTTTTCTGAAAACTCCTTTCGGCCATGCCCATAGTCCCAGAAACTTTCTTCTCCTTCACCATATGTGAATATGTCCTCACCACGCCTCCCATATCCAAATTAATTCTTCCTGATAGATTTATATTTCTCCATCATAAATTTGGGGTGGCACACACAGGAGTTTTGAATCTTTCTAAGCAATTCATTCTACAAAACTCTCTTTTTTCTGGGTTTTGAGTAGTGTTTTTTATAATCTTTCGGTTGTGTGAGATTGATTAGATCTGTTCTCTTTTTTCTTTTTTTTTTGATTAACTTAGATATGAGAAATTGAGAAATTTTACTTGTTCTTCTCGTGTTTTGTTCTTTAATCTGTTCTTGAATGGAGAAATTTATCATTGTGTGGGTGAAATAAGTGATTTTTGAGCTTCTGTAGGCTATTTATTGGATAGATTGAGAGTTGGAGGTGGTTGGGATTCTTTTCGATTTCAAGTTTTCGAATCGATCTCGATCTGGTTCAAAATTGAAAGAGTTGAGCTCGAGTCCAAAATTTTGTGGCTCGATTGAGTTCGAGCTGAGCTCGATCTCTGTATAAACATCGCTAAACTCGGGCTCGACTCAGCTCGTTTTCAGCCTTAGTATGTTCATATGGATGTAACGCTTGCTTGTCCCAGGCCTCTTAAGTGTTTGCGATCCTCGAACCAGAAGTTTGGGTTTTAGCCCATTACGGTTGGGCCGTAGACCAATCAATTGTATTGCAAATGAAGGACTTCAAGTGTTGACTTTTGATTTGTTTAAAAAATGTTTGTTTTTCTAATTGAAAACGAGAAACAATAAAAAAAAAAAAAAGAAAGAGAGAAGGTAGCAACAAACACTTGGTTTATGTGGTAAAGGTATTACGTCAGTTTAATTATGATTCGGCTTTGAATCCGGACATAAGAATGCAGTAATAATTAAAATACTTATTGGGAGAGATCTGCCTCCCGAAAGAGACCTACCAGACTCGAATCCGGATAAGTCAGAACAATGACTTCAGACAACGGGTGCGTAATATACTATAAAAAGAAAGTAGGTTTGTATGAATATATACAATTTTTCTTATCACCCAACAGGAAAAAAAAAACTTCAGCTTATTAACAGTATAGTATTGCCTACATTATTACCAACAAATAGTTGGTCCAAAAAATACAGTAGCGCATTAGCAAGAGATGACTATTTCAATCTTCAATTGAGCAAGTCCTATGTAATTCAAAGTTCGAAGTATCTTTGTGCAACTCCGATGAATGATTTTCTAATTTTTTTTTATGTCGAGACAAGAAATATATATGATGGTTTGTGTATCTTTTCTCTTCAAAACAACAGTACATAGATTATTGATTGTTGTCTATTAAAGTTGAATGTTTTTTATTGTATGCTTAAGTAGCAAATTTCCTTTTTCCTGGTTGAGATGTGAGAAGTATCAAGTATCAATTGTAAGAATCAAATTTACAATTAAAAAGCCTTTTGGGGTCTTTTATGAGATAAGGATGAAGTAGAGGGACCAAAATTCTAACCATTTCGAAGCTGAAACAAAACCGTTATTTAAGTCGTGGCCAAATTTGCCTTCTTCAGGGTTTTGGGAGGGTTTTAACAAATTAATCGATTCTCTTTCTCTTCCTTTCAAATTACTCTGTTTTCAATGGTAAAGAAAGCAAGAATTTTGGGTTTAGCTTCCAATCTTCGCCGATATTCAACAGCGACGACGCTCCGTCGTGTGGCGGATGAAGGCGACTGGCTGTACTCCTCCGAGTGGTGGGGGAAAGACGACGGTTCTGATGCTCAGACGGTTTTCCGAGGAGTTTCAGATAAGGGAAACGGCGTCGTTTCCGTCCGAGCTTACCCTTCTTCCAGACCAGTTCAGTTATTACTCCCTTCCCCTGTTATGATGATTTTTTCTCAGATTTTTGGTGATATCTTTATATAATTGTTTTATTTTTATTTTTATTTTTAATCATCGTCTTTGCAACATTTGTGAATCTGTGATAAACCAAATACAAAATCGTCGCTTTTTTTCTGGTGTCATTTTGAGTAGTATTTTGGAATAGTTTATCGGGCTAATTGGAAATTAGGTGTACTTTTCGGTTACAGAGAATGCACATGCCTTTTCTAAATACTGTTGAAGCTAATTGAAGAATGTTAGGTGTGTAGTGTGTACATTTACAAACGCGTTTAGACGTAGTGTCTTTGAACTTTATACAACATGTTACTGAGGATATGATCAGTTGCCTGTGGGTCCTTTTCCATCTTTTTTTCAATGAATTTGTGTTGGGCTTGCTGGAGTCTTGAATATATTGTAGTTACTAACTACAGTAGTCCTTCCTATTGTTCAACTTTGATTATTTGGGGAAGAAGTTTCGAATGTTTGGCTTAGTTTTTATCAAAAAAAAAACTTGTGGAGTGCTTAGTAGCCTAATGGTATGGAGATATTTAAAATGTGATGTAGGAAAAAGCACGTTGGCATGAAGCAGAGAACTGGCTTCAGCGAAGATACGCTGAGATAAATCCTATTGGTGGGAAACAGGGATTTAGGGTTATTGGTTATCAGTGGAGGACGCTTCATTTTAACGATTATACTCGGCAGAGCACTGTCAAAGTAATGGCCGCTTATCGGGAGTCTGATCCTTCTTCTATAATCGTTATGCAGCAGCCACATTGTCTAGCTATTCCATGTAAATTCTTCTGTCTTCTCTACATTTTCAAGGCCTATACTTCATCAAAAATTTGCTCAAAACTAGTTATTTTGTAGGGTAAAAGTTCCTGCCTTTTTCTTCTACATGATCTGCTTGACAACCGTTTCTATCATCAACTTTCCCATCATGGAATTAACCAGTATCTCCAGAAGCAGTTAATTTTTCTCTATCAGATACTTTTGTTGTGAGACTGTTGTCCTTGTCTCTATGGCTTTCTTTTTTTAAAATTTTGGAATGTTTTATTGGAGTTGTTCATTGCACCATGTGAAGTGGGTATTGTATTTTCAGTACCTCTCGTTATGTTTAACCTCTGTAGTAAGCACTTACAACTTGAGAACACTTGGATGCTTCATGTCGATGATAGTTACCAATCACTGCTCTGTCGCGACTTTTGCAGATGTGAAGAGCATGGTATCGGCTGGATTAGCTACGCTTTCATGTGTTAATTTTGATCTCAGTGCTGCAATATGTGGGAAGGAACCCATGAATGTCTTGTGCATTGGCCATGGTGGGGGGAGTATACCTTTGTTTTTGGCTAGTAAAATTCAAGGTTAGATTTGTGAATTTTATAATCTGGTCTCTAAAATTCGTAGCTGAGTTCTTTAATCCTTCTTCTTTCTATGTCTGTATGTGGCCGTCTTCTTCTTTCTTTGGTTGGGCAATAATCTAATGTATATGAGGAAAAAGCTGCAAGGTCAACCTTACTGAATCCTAAAGAAGAGTTAGCCATTTAGGCTTTCATCATCTTGTCGCTAGTTATATATAAGTTGTCTTGCTCTAAAATTGGAAGCCTTCTTTCTACAGGTGCTGTGGTTCACAGTGTAGAAATTGACCCCATTGTGATCTCAGCCTCCACGAAAGCTATGGGTTTCCCTCAGTATGCAGTCATGACGAAATCTGGGGAGCGGGCATGCCTGAGTCCTGACCCTGCTTCTGAAGTCCTGTGGAAAGGCATTCACGAGAGAATCCAATTGCATGAATCAGATGCCGAGAAGTTCATGTCTGAGTGCAACACTCTTTATGACATTGTTTTCATTGATGCCTATGACGGCGAAGACATCTTTCCTAACAAGCTCTGGGACCCGGATTCCCCCTTTCTTAGAGCTCTAGGAAATAAGCTCCATCCGGTGCATGGGACAGTAGTTGTGAACCTTCATTCAGATGTAGACTTGAGTGATAATAATTCATCTGGTTCACCTGTATTTCACGTTTTACCGATGGGGAAGTACGTTTATAATGTTTGTAGAGCTTACAAAGATATGTTGCTTGGACATACGAGCTCTCGTGGTGGCTTGGCATACACAGTTTCTGCTCCTTGGGTGTGTAATACCTCCTTCGTAGTTTGTAGAGGATTTGGGAAGTCTAAAGATAGGGAATTTGTTTTGAACTCTCTCTTGTCCAAATCTCTTGAAGTTGAAAGTATGGTTGGCTTGCCATTCACATGTTTAGAATACCTCAAAAGAGGCTTTACTATTGTGTCGTAGATCGATTTTTTATTTTTTTGAAACAGTAGATCGATTATCTTACCTAAGGATACAATGTTTCTTTTCTGATTCCAAGTTTTAGCTTGATGAGATCCTCTGTTTGAGTAGTACTAGAACATCAGCAATGTTCTTCCCGAACTAAAAACGAAGGACCATTAAGAACATCTAGACTTGCGACTCCAAATGTTTGATGCGACTCATTATATCCATAATACTATATCACAGGATGAGTATGAAATTTGGGTTACTGAGAGAAGAAAATCAATGCACAAAGTAGATATCCCTACCGAATCAACCTTCATATAAAGCAATAGGAATCTCTGATGTTCAAACTTAGCTTAATGCAATGAATTCCAATTTAGACATTGCAAATTTGTAATTGCAAAGATGAAAGTAGCCTATGACCCAAACTGGAAAAACAAAAAGGAAAAATCTTACCTAGCATGATATTTCATATCGTGAAGTACCATCCCAATGCACATTTATAACAGACTATGAGTGTAGATAATTCAATCTTTTTGCTTCTTTACGTACAAAACCATATCGCAATCTCACAAGTTCTCCATTCCAAGTTGATGCTAACAATTGGCATATATATCTTCATTCTTTGCTCTTTTAATATCTTCAGAAACTCCTCACAGTTCGATGGTAGCAGAAACCGCGACCCTTTTTCTTTTTTGGAGTAGGTTAAGCCACTGGAATCCCCACTAGAATGGAAGATCTCACAACTTAGCAAGCTGACGTAACAGAGGCGATTCCAGAACATGAAACCTAGTAGGATTCGGCATCCTTAAAGATAACTCTATGCCTATAAATAGGGTGGATCACACTGCAATACGGGTACGCTATCTCTAGCACAAACTACTACTCACATACGTTCTTTAAGCCCTTTTCTGACTTAGGCATCGAAATGTCTACCCTCGGGAGACCCCCGAGACCTTCTATTGCAGGAAACCCTAGCTGGAGTTCCACTACCAAGCCGGCGGTGTAAAACCAATTTTCGCCAAGTGGCACGCCAAGTGAGACCCGAAAACTAGGGTTTGTGTCACGAAAACTTTTTCAATTTTCCTAACCTTCTCCGGTGCGACTTAGGGTTTCTGGAACCACGCACACTATGACCAGGATCGAAGAAGACGCGAGCAACACGGCATCTTCTGGTAGATGGCACATCCAGCCGATAACACTACCTTGGCAGAATTCCAACGACGAGAGGAAAGAATGAAGACGGGAAAGGCCATGAAAGGGGACCCGAGAAATAACAAGAGAAAGAAAGTTTGTTCCTTGGAACTTCACAGCCTAATCCAAAGAAACCAGACAAAGCAAATCCCGCGACCGAGAAGGAGGATTTGCCTCCTCCTCGAAATACCATAGCATCCAGGAAACGCTTGGAAGATCAAAAGTTAGCTAAAATCGAGGCTGAACTCAATAAGCTAAGGGATGACAGTGATCAAAACCAAAGGATAAAAAGATATATTCTCGAGGAAACAAGGCGTCGCTGTCTCCTAGGAAAGTCTGACCCAACTGAACAGGAGTTAACTGACTTGATTGATGAGAAGGAAGCCCGACGCACTTTAGCCCTTCTCGAGAAGAAACAAGGCAAGCGAAAGGTCCAAGGAGAATGGAACTATCAAGAGTATTCATATCGCAAAGGCTTCTTGGATAATTATTTAACTGCCACCCGTGATACCATTTATTGGGACGCTTATAGAAAGAAATATCTGGCCTTTGATATGGCCATCGAAGAATTTGATGCGGTATACAGGCGCAAGAACCCTTTGGACCGGTACCAACGAGGATCCCCAAGCGTCAACTTCGTGGAAGAAGGAGAGTGGAACCCTCAGAGGAGGACTAATGTTCACAATCGATTGGGACCAAAATGGCATAAAAAAAGTCCTCGAAGGGAGGAATACAAACCTTTCCACAGACACTATCGAGACAACGACAATACTGGAGAAAATCATGGGCGGGGACATCACCGCCATCTTCAGTATTCACCTCCCAGGCGGCAACAACACAACAATCACGAGGGGATTCCACCTTATCTTCCTCGAGGTCAGCAAGGAGTAAAGGGCCAGAATGTCTCAATCCGAGACGAGATGACGAAAATCATTGGAATGGTCGTGGACCGGAGCCCCTTTATACCAGAAATTTGAGATGAGCCACAGCCCCATGACTTCGACTTCCCAAAAGACTTCATCAAATACTCAGGAGATACGGACGTCTCCTAGTGGCTGCAGGGGTATGTCCAGGTCATGAGGATCAAGAATGCATCGTTAAATTTTATGGCTAAAGCTCTACCCTCCTACCTAACCGAGTATTCACAGTGATGGTTTGGACAATTATCAGAAGGAAGTATAATCAGTTTCGAGGACTTATCCATCAAATTGGCTACTCGGTTCTTTCTGAGTAAGAAACTCTCTAGAATGTCCATTGAACTTTCCTTGATTAAGCAAGGTCAACATGAAAGTCTCTCAGATTTCCATCAATGTTTCATCTGCGAAACCTTACAAGTTGACAATATAAATGAACGGTATGTCCAGAATGGCTTTATCCAAGGGCTCAACCCATTTCGAAAATCGTCAATGCTAAGAGTAAAACTCTCGACTAAACCTCCTAGGAACTCCCAACAGATGTGGGCTATTGTCGAGAATCATATTCAACGAGAGCACACACTCAAGAGATCACAAGAATCTTTCACGGTAGTAAGGCCAAGAGATAAACCAAGGGTTAACACAGAAAGTAGGACAACGTTGCTTAAACTCGATAGGCAGTTGACGCATTTGACTAAGCTGCAACGAGAAATCCTCCAGATCCACAAGGATGGGTTACCTACAGTGCCCAATCCAAAGAGGTTGACGGAATAGTATTATGAATATCACAAAGACCACGTCCATAATACTGAGGATTATGGAGAACTCAAGAGGGAAATCGAGAATGGAGTCAAGTCTAGTAAATTTTAGCAATATGTGCAAGGACCCTCTCGACAAAGAAACAACAAGCCTGGTACATCCCAAAATTTTCCTAAACGGAATTTCAGGGGTCCTCGAGGAGAAAGCCGTGGAAATAATTGGCAACCGAGGAACAATACGCAACAACCTCCTCAACAAACTATCAAGGGAGCCCCACAACCGCTTCAGCATATCCCTCCGGTGGATCCTACCAAGCAGATCACTCACCAGGTGGGTGCCATTTATGGAGCTCCTCTCGAAGTTTTATCTACCACAGCCATGAAAAACTCAGTATGGAACACCACAAAAACTCCCCGTCAGGAACCTAATCACAAGAGGTTCAAAGGGACAGAGGCCATAGTCTTCACTGACAGCGATGTAGTCCCGGATATCTGTCCACACATTGATGCCATGGTTATCGAGGCAATAATCGGAAATGTGCAAGTCAGTCGGGTTATGAGGACAGCAGCAGCACAGTTGACATCATCTACATTGATTGCTTAAAAAAGATGAACATTCAAAACCCTAATATCCGCCCACCAACGATGCTATTGATGGGCTTCTTGGGCCACACTATTATTCCAACCGGAATCATAAGTCTCCCTATCACAGTAGGGTCGCATCCCAGAATGGTTACATTAAACCATGGATTTTGCCTTAATACATGTTTTTTCTATGATATTACAAGGAATTACATGCTGGGGTTGTCAAGAGACGGGTGGATAATGCCTTTAAAGTTTAAACCCATGCAGGGTAAGAAGATTTACAATATCCTTGAGATCTATAATCTCTTCGTCTTGAGAATGAACCCTTAAAAGGAGTTCCTCTCAAGAGCTCCTGGTTTTTGTAATCTACCACTTCTTCGGGCTTCTCAAAAGGTGGGAAGTAGATGTTATGGTCCAACAGTAAGTTCTGAAGTTCGTTTATGTATCCCATCAGGATCTCGACCTTGCAAGTTCTCTCCTTAAGCATATCCATCGCTAAAATAAACCGACGCGTTCTTATTGAGATCATAAGCTGCACTCGAGCAAGGACCTGATGCTTCTCGAGAAACCATGGCTACACGGTAGTCTGTTTGCCCTGTTTCAACCGGGTATTTTCTTCTTCCAGAGCAACTAGCTCATCATGGATGTCCGTCTCAAAAGTTAAAGAATCACTGAAGTCTTTATCTTTCTGATAATCTCATCGTTGCATTTTCGCTCGGAGTTCTTTTATTTCCTTGATTAGATGCTGGTTGACTTTACATTGCGCGCTCGCATAACATCGAGAAGGTCCATTTCTAAGGTCGCTATTGTCTCGATACTATGGACATTTGCGCGGCTTCTCATAATATCGCTAATCATCGAGTATAGAGGATATTCCTTCGATTGTTCCTCTAACAGAATCATGAGATGGATTCGATTGTTTTCAGGAAGAATGAAAAGGCCAAAATTAGACTTGTAGGGATAGACAACATGCTATTCACTTAAAGGACAAATAAAAACTTGAATCGTTTACAACAATCCCTAGCAGCTATTATCGAGGGAAGAGTTCATACAGCATCTTGCCCAGTAGAACCATCCTGGGGATGACTCGGAGACGTCTCTCCAGCATTCTTCTGTGCTCCCAAATTGCTAGTATCAGATACATATTCCCTCGAAGCCTCATCACCTTCTTCCTCAAGCTCGATGCCGATATACTCATCCGACACCTTGGGGATTAGCTCCTCATCGCTTGGACCCTTGGACAAGACTATGGTGGGGTCATCAGGGAACATGGCCATATCTTCAGGAGTACCCATCTTAACGAGGGCTTCACACAGAACCTCCCATGAAGGCAGCTGCTCGCTGTTGAGCTTCATGAGAACCTTTACCAATGCCTCATACATGGTTTTCTTCGGGCTCTCTTTCAAGAACTGTTTGAAACCACTTGGCCTTGATGGCTCTGTCTCTGCTGAGCCTCTTGAGGCCTGCAACAGCTACTCTGTGAGCTCCATATTTTGTGGCCGCCAAATTAACCTCCTCGATAGCTGCTGCTATGACCACCTGAGGACAACATCCTCAAACCAGAAGGCAGCACACCATTTGTGGAGATCCTCCCTCGAGATGTGCAGATCTGCAAAAGCCCTCAGTTTCTCGTCCAACTCATTATATTTCGCCTGCACCAAGGCTAATTCCTGCTCTTTGGCTTGTATCTGTTGATTCCTGTCCTCGAGAGTAGCCTTCTCGACAAGCGCGTGGTCCCTCTCGATCCGAGCCTGGACCAACTCTTCCTTTAAATTCCTCAAGTTCATCAAGTATGCCATCGAGGCCGCACTCATTTGTAAAATTTAGCAAATGACACAAAGTTTGCCTGTAGGATATTTGCTATCATATTTTCGAAGGGTATAAAGTACTTACAAGCCTCATGATGTCCATTGCTGTTAGCTGTGCAGCGAACTCTTCCAACAAGGGGCATTCAATGGTTGGAGGGCCGCCAAAAGTATGAACGACCACAGTTGGTCCTCCCTCGACCACACGTGACGGCAGAATGGTTGTTTCCTCCTCGAGCGGGCCCTTCTCTTTGTCCGCGGCAGGTGCCTTGGTGCTTGGGTCTACTTCTACTTGGGGGTGGGGGCCTTTTCGGTTGTAGGGGAGGCACTGGTCTTCTCCATTGCAGGAGGCACGGTATTCTCCCCTTGAGCCATTGACTTCAAGGTGACAACATCCGCCTTCTTTTTCTTCTCCTTCTCCGAGACCTTCTCGAGTCTCTTCCTTTTCTTCTTTGCTCCAACAGCTACAGTAGTTGACTCTTCTTCGTCTAAATTCACAATAGGAAAAGGGTCTTCATCACCAAATAGTCGAGAACCAGCATTGCTCGACGACATGGCCTAAACACAGAAACAACAATATAAGAGATTAGTACAGTACCTTTTTCTTCCTTGACCAGAGTTTTAGTGTCTTTCAGAAACAACAACATAAGAGATTAGTACCTTTTTCTTCCTGTATCGCTGCTCTTGACTAGCAGGACACGCCGCCTCACCAACATATCAACTAGACTTTTGACACAAGGAAACCTCACACAAATCCATATAGTTCAACTTGAGACACAACACCACAGTCTGCACACTCTCTACTCGTACCACATCCTCAACATGTCAAACCACACTTCTCTTCATCAAGATTATCCTCCGTGAGTAAATCTTGGAACACTACACACCACCACATCACAAAATTTTAGTACCTACAAAGATTGGAGGCAACCACAATCATCTCCACATCTTTTTACAACTTTCCTACAGCTCTAACACACTTCAATCCAGCAAAACAGCACTAACCAAATTGAATTTGACAAAACCAATGCAAAAAAAAAACTCAGCATGTCGAAATTAGGGGGGAATGGTCACCTGAAAAATTTGATGACATGGCGGTCAACTAATGACGTGGCAGTCAACCTTTGACTTTGACCGATGACATGAGCATCCATTCAGCGACACATGGCAGACACCTCAGCACACATTCAGCGAAACGTGGAACAATCAGCAACATCCACATGGCAGACAACACCACTCACCAGTAAACACATGGCCCAATCAGAACATGCCACATGTCAGCATCTCATAAAACCCTAATCTCAGCCGCCACCCACAACGGACGGTCCAGAACGCCTCAACTTCAAATAGTGATATCTCAACATCCAACGGTTGGATACTTCTCAAACTTCATATTTATCACAAATCAACAGCTTAGAATCCAGATCTGGTGTTCGATCAGCAAGATTCTTCTCCAGTGTCCGAAAAACACTACGTCGATCGAAATTCTTCTTTTAGTGATTCCTCTCTCTCCGGTGGTCCAATGCTCACGAAACTTGGGCTCCCAACATTTCTTGATATGAGAAATGCAACCATGCACTCTGATAGGTTAGCAAACACTTCCTTCATGCAAAACCAAAAATAACACCTCTACCCGCTCAAAAAACAGTCCCAACTTCGAACCTTCAGCTTTGATACCACTCGTTAGGGATTCTTGCAACCCCTCTACACAAAAATTTCTATAAGTTTACTCACTCAACAACACACGCAACGGATTGAAAGTCAACAACCAAGCAAACACAACAAGAAGCACAACACACACAATTTACATGGTTCGATTTCTCATAGATCTACGTCCACGGGAATGGCGACACTTTCACTGACAGATGAATAAAAGAGTATACAAAGGTGGAGCCTCTCTCAACACACTGTCTCTCTACCTCAATTCTACCCTTACACTCTCACAAAGTGTTTCCCATTACTCACTATATGTGCTCCGGAAAGGAAAAGCACCATCAACAAAGAGGAAGAAAATAGAAGAGGACTCTCAACTCAACTCAATCCTATTTTCTCCTCCCCTCACTCAAGCTCTATCTCAAGTGGCTACATTTTGGCTTCCTCCCCAAATGATTCTAGTATAAATTTTTCCTATTTATACTAAAACCCTACACCACTAGTACAATCTTATTGGACCCTAATGGCCCAATACTCACTTGGGCTTTACTTGGAATTTTGAGGAGATACCCAACAATAATTTCCCTGTAATTGCACTCATAGTTGACATACTCGAAAAGGGCAATGCTAGGTACGTTAAAGTGAGCCTCCTGGAATCCGCTGGTGTTTAGCAGCTGGATTTTCTCAAGTGACGAGCTAGATATATTGATTCTTTCCAAGTTCTGGTAGCTTTGGATCGATAAATTTTCTAACCTGAGAAATTTAATGCTCCAGTCGACATTGCTTTCGTCATCAAGGTGGTCGATTATCAACACTCCATCACTCAGGAACACACTTTTAAGATTTCTATATGCAGATTCAGGGAACTCAAGCCAACTATTGTTCTCGCTTCCTGGGACCGAGGATGTACGAGCCGCAACAACAGATTGCAAATCTGCATTCACTTAGACACTTCGTCTAGAAAATCATCCAGTTGCTTAACATTGTGACGACTAGCAATCTTAAACTCGAATCCTATTCTGCGCCCTGAGCAATCATTAACATTTATGATTTCAACCAAAGGGCAAACCCTGACCAAATTCTCACACGTCCCTTGGTCCTCGAATGATACCTCTTCGAGATATATGTTTGAGATTCGGCCACATTAATGATCTCCTCCCTCTTTGCTGCTGCTTCAGAATTCAACAAGAATGTAAACTTAGTTGCACCAATGTCTCACTTTCACAACCAGGTAAGGGAAAGTCTCTGAGGTATTGTAAATTCAGGTTTCTCAAAGTCTTCTTTATTGTGGCTAATTCAATACAATGAGGGACTGATTCAGGAGTGACATAACGAGAATCAAACATTAATTTAAAGGTCTCTAAACCAATATCTTCCTTCTGGTGTCTAACCAAAGTAGACCATTTATGTTTATCTTTTTGGATCTTTGTTCTTCAACAACATCATTCACAGCCAAATTCTCCATTGCTCAAAGATCAAAAACCAAAGTGGGACATGTTTGCACCGCCCATAACAATTCTTAGATAAGCTACTTAATGGAATGGCTTCTTCAAAATTGAGGAAAGGAAGTATTTAATGGAGAACATCTTCATGCAATTCTGATAGGCTTGCCATGGCTAAATAACAATCTTCCTACAAAAGCTATAGAGAGTATTGATTGTGTGCTTTGTGTTAAAAACAGAAAAAAGAAAAGAACAGATTTTTTTATAGTACTAATGAATTTATTTAGCTTAGGCCTTAGGGTTTAGGGAGTTGAGTTGTTCTAAAATACAGCAACCTTTTCTCCACCAACGAGGATCATCCGGTCCAAATTTTTTGTGAGTCTGAACTGCTCAACTCACAAGCTGGTTGGCCCTTTTGGTCCATTTTCTTTTCTGTTTTTTTCCCCTCCAATCTGAAATCTAGTGTCTTATTTTCTTTTTTCTTTGTTTTTTTTTCTTTTCCCCTGATTAAGAAAAGTTTTTCTCTCTATTCCACGAATATGCATCTTATATGTTGCGAGACAACCATTGTTTTGTCTTCATTACCTGATACAGATTCAGATTAATTCAGAACATCCTGATGAGTGCAAAATAGCCCTTTTTACTCGCAAGGTTATGAGTTGCATTTGTAGTAGCGGTAAGGGGTGTCGATCCCACAAGGACATGCAAATTAAATATGTGTTCCTAATGATATCTTTCTTAGTGCAAGTAACCAAAACTATAGAAGTGATTTTTAGAAAATAGAATGCAAACAATGGAATGTTTGAATTAAAAGGATTTCTCAGTTATGGAGGAGATAGTGTTCAATATCAATTTTCAATCCAATTAGTGATTAGCTATTAAATCTATGGTGATAGAATATTAGCCGGTTCACTTTATTGCCTCAAAGCTTCTTCCAAAGTTAGAGAGACATCTCCTTAGTTGCGAACCACCTATATTTCTATGGTAGAACTCAACCATGGAGTCATTACACTCAAGAACATATAAGACCAACCATGCCATGGTGGTATATTCCTATCCGACATGAAACCTTAAACTTTTACGTACAAGTCATGGCCCAAGTTGACAAACCTAACCAACATAGCCTATTCCTAGATCTATGAACATTTCATGCACCAACAAGTATGTAATCAAGAGAATTGCTGGGAATGAACAAGAACGATCAACTTAGATATTCAGCTTCACCACAAAGTTTAACAACTAATCAAACAATCTTCATGTACTTTGAAATTGAGCCTGAAGGGTGTCTAGCTACCCATAGATGAATAAAAAACTAAAACACAGAGAGAAAACAAGCAGTTCATGTTCACAAAGTCGAGAGAAAGAAAACTCTATGAGAGTGATTCGCCGACGACTTCGATCTTGATCTGGATTGTGTTGTTGAAGTGATCACCAACCTTTCCCTTGTCGTGTCTATCCCTATGGAACCCTAGTAGCCTCCTCTAAGGTCTGATATCTCTTTTTAGGGGCGTGCATAGGGTTTTTTTTAATGAAAATCTACAACCCTAGTTTTTGTTAAAACTTGCATAAAAATCGGCCTGCGTAACTCTGTAGAGTGACTTGCCTCACTCCGCAGAGTGGTTTGGAAAGTTCACATTCAGCAGCACTTCGCTCCGTTGAATGCCCCAGTCGCTCTATAGAGTGGTGCAGAATGAGGAATGTTAGCTCTCGGTTACTCTCTTCTCTGAATCACTCCATGGAGTAGTCTCTTCACTCTGCGGAGTGCTTGGTGACTTCACCAAATTTTCATAAATTATCTTTTCTATCACCTTTCAAACATTTTTTGCTCATATTACTTCTGTAAAAGAGATCACAAATAAACCATATTAGGTAATAGAAAATTCATCTAAAATTATACACTTTAAAGCAAACTCAATACTAGTAATGAGGTGATTTATATGCAAATTACATTCTTATCAACTCTTCCAAACTTAAAGTTTTTCTTGCCCTCAAGCAATTGACCTTAATCACACATCAACAAGTAAACTTAAGTCAACTTATGACTGTCGGCAATTTGTTTCATGATTATGCCTTCCCACATATAGGCATATAGTATACCGGTTACACCATCATTCAGTTGCAACTCTACACGGTCCATCGTAGTTGTCTCAATGTGTGTGTGACATGCCAGTCATACAAGACCACCAGTCGGCAAAGGGAAACAACTAAACATTTGTGTTTTCATTAGTTTCATTATTTAGCACATGATTCACCTTTCATACCACAATAAGCTAATGCAATCAAATCAACCTAGAGAACATAAGGACTTAAACGCACAAAATTTAAACAATCTCAACCTTTCGCTCTCGTAACCCTTTCTTCGGTCCATATAGATTTTCTTCAGGATCTTTCCCACTCAGACCGTTATCGAGAGACGGTAATCAACAAAATTTTCTTTTTTATCTCACCAGCCTGAGGACTCTCCACTCTTAGTTGCCAAACCTCACCTCTCAAGGGTTCCACTGACACATTGGGCAGGCGACCAGACTTCCCTCAAATTAGATTTTTAATATCCTAGCCTCAGTTTAATCCACCAACAACCCCTTTTTCCCAAAGGTTTAAGGTTACTTCAAACCACTACCCTCTTGATTTGAGTATGAGGTAGTGCGTAGGGCTGCCTTAGTCCTATTTTCAACATATAAACAGACCACACCTCGTCTATTGTAGTAATCAGATGAATCAACTTATCTATTTTCACACAAGTATTAGTTATAGCATTAAGTTCAAGTCATTACACTTCACCTAAAGTGATATCATATAAATGGCTTACAAGTGCTCAGAAGGTGTTGAGACAACTAAAACAGACTAAGTTAAATCAGAACATGAATAGGGTATTTAAATTCATAGACATCATCATCATCATTGACTACCAACAGCCATATTTTTTCTATTTTTTGATTTTTTTTTTTGTATTTTTTCAGTTTTTTTTTTCAATATAAAAAAAACCAACACAAACATACTATTAGACTTAGAAACAAATCAAGCATAACAAAGAAATAAAACACTCTGGCACTTTCGTCAATTCTCAAAACACCCCCAAACTTAAAAGAAAGCATAGTCCTCGATGAATAAAATGAAAAGAAGGAAGGGGGCTTCCCTGGAGTGATGAGCTAGGGTGGTGGTATGGATGTTAAAGCGTCTCCTTTTCTCTAACAGGAGCTTTAGAGGCAGCACCTCAACTTTTTGTCATGCTCTATGCAAAAGTTTTACCCTTCATGATCCACTGATGGACTCTACAGAGTGAGCCCGACACTCTACAGAGAGATTCAAACAACATTCTATTGTGTTGTGCACCTTCTCTAACCAATCTTTTGCCTCCAAAGAAAGTGTAACTGAAAGTGCTCTGCATGAAAATGAAAACAATCAAATATAAATCACATGACTAAAAATAAATAAATAAAAGGAAAAAGAAAAGAAAGAACTTGGGTTGCCTCCCAAGAAGCGCCCGTGGTTAACGTCGTTGGCCGGACGCCTGGTGCTTTCTGACTTTATGGGGGCCTTGAACATGAACCAGCCATATTTAGAGCACCTTTCTTCTTACGCCGATGTGGAGGAACATAATAAGTTGTATACTTCATGTTAGCCTCCATAAGGGAACTATTGTACCATTCTGGACCAAGCTTGAACTCTCGAACATGAGGATGTTTTGCAGCTTGCTTTGGCTGAACACCCCTACTATGGTCATCACACTTCTTAATAAGAGATGGAGTTGGCATTATTCTTGAGTTGTACTCGAATGATCAACCTGTTTAGCACTTTTACCATTCAGCTTTAGTTGTTTTTGGACTTTTCGCTTCGTTGCCAACTTGGGAGTTTGGTTTAGAAAGTTAAGCAATTCTACACTTTGTACTTCCTCCACAATCTCCTCATTCTCAGAGAAGCAAATGTCTTGTTGCAAGGGATCCTTCATGGTGGGATGTGAAATAATCTCATCTTTAGCTTCCTCAGCCATCTGAATGGAAAAACAAGAATCACATTCAGTCGGATACTCCTTGTCCTTGAAGATATTAAAAGTGAATTTTTCACCATCAAACCTTAATGTGTTGTTGAAGTGATTCGCCGATGAGAGAAAGAAAACTCTATGAGAGTGATTCGCCGATGACTTCGATCTTGCTCCGGATTGTGTTGTTGAAGTGATCACCAACCTTTCTCTTGTTGTGTCTCTCTCTATGGAACCCTAGTAGTCTCCTCCAAGGTCTAATATCTCTTTTTGGGGCGTGCATAGGGTTTTTATTATGAAAATCCGCAACCCTAGGTTTTGTTAAAACTTGCATAAAAATCGGCCCGCGTCACTCCGAGTGACTTGCCTCACTTCACAGAGTGGTTTGGAAAGTTCACATTCAGCAGCACTTCACTCCCGTGGATTGGTCTCTTCACTCTACGGAATGCTTGGTGACTTCACCAAATTTTCTTCAAGTGCATAAATTATCTTTTCCATCACCTTTCAAACACATTTTGCTCATATTACTTATGTAAAAGAGATAACAAATAAACCATATTAGCTAGTAGAAAATTCATCTAAAATTATACACTTTAAAGCAAACTCAATTTATATGCAAATTACGTTCTTATCACATCCAGACACAAGACAAGTAATATTAATGAAAAAAAAGCAATACGCAATTTTTTTGTAACATAGGCCTCTTTCAACAGGCAAGGATAAAAGTGAAATAGGGAGGGAAACAATTTAGCCTAGCTTGTTGGCAAGCCAATTATAAGACACTTTAAAAACTTGATCAAATGCACTAAAACTGAACCGTTGAA